GGAATCGACCTCATACGGAAGTGGCTTCAGATTCTCTCATACGGAAGTGGCTTCAGATTCTCAGTGCTGTGCTTTAACCCGCTGCGCCACCAGGGAGGGCCTTTATTATTATTTTTAAAGCTTTATTTATTTATGCAACAAGAACTGGTGTACAGGCCAGAGGTGCGAGGGGGTGAGAGGATTCACCAGAAACAGAGTGGGGAGCAGAACAAGCAGATCGAGTGAAATACACTGCTGAAGGGAGCAGTAGACAAGACGAGAAGTTTGCTGCACCATGTGGGTCACCTTCCTGGTGGGAGACAAACTCCTGCTGCAGTGGCTGCAGTTATCTTCAAAGTACTGTGCTTTAACCCATTATGCCACCAGGCAGGTTGCAAAATAATGAATTTCAACTACAGCATTCACTCCACATTTACCAGAGAGTCTACTAAGCAGGATGAATGTTTGATGCTTAATTGGAATTGAGAAGGTCTAAGAAAGGCCACTGTGGTCAACATTTGCAGGTGCTCCTGAATGACTCAGCGAAGCATATTACCTTCCTCATTGCTGTCCCAGACAGGTGCGTTTAGATTAGGAAAGAGGCACTTCAACCATGTAGGTTCAGTTATTGAATCCTCTCCATGTGCTGGGTACTACAGGAGATAGAGATTATAAGCAACCATTCCAAGGAGGATATATATATATATATATATATATGTATGTATATATATATATACATATATATATATATATATTTTGGTCTAGAAGGATATATATATATATATTTTTGGTCTAGAAATGTATGTATATATAAAAACCCATAATACAACTTTGAAGGTGTTTTCTTTGTGCTGTCAATGAGATATATAAAGAAGTTTTGGGAGCTCTGGGATGGTACTTATGGCTGAGTAAATCTGAGAAGATTTCAGTAGGGTGACTTTTTGGGTTAGAACTTGAAGGAGAACAGGATTTGGAAAAATGGTTTTACTGGTGGAAAAAAACCCACTATGTGAACTTTGACTGAAATATGATTTTTTTCACATCATTCAGTTAGATCTTGTCCCCTGGAAAGTACTGTAAGTCACATAGAGGTAACTCTCGCTAGTATAGGCCAACACTCTTGCTTGATGCCCACCTAAGGAAAGAATTGTCATGGTGCCATCTCATTTTCATTTGCAGACACAGATGAAGCATGCCCTTCATTCACCAAACTGAACTTTCACAATGCAGTGGTTGGTACAGAACTAGATGTGAGGTTGATGCTTTACACTTGGAGAGACCGGAACTGTGCACAACTCATCAGTTCTACAGATTTGGGGCACTTGAATGTGACCAAGAAAACCACCTTCGTTGTCCATGGATTCAGACTAACGGGTTCTCCTCCAGTTTGGATGGAAGTCTTAGTGCAGAGTTTACTCTCTGTAGAAGATATGAATGTGATTGTTGTTGATTGGAATCGAGGAGCTACAACTGTATTGTACTTTCGTGCCTCTAGTAAAACCAAAAAAGTAGCAACAGTGCTGAAGGAATTTATTGACCTGATGTTGGTAAGAGAGAATTCACTTAGGTGATTCAGGGCCAAATTGAAATTGTCCCATTGGAGATTTAAGGCCAAAAAGTTATCAGTATACATGGGTCTATTTTGTAACATTTGCAAATCCGAATAAGGTGTGATTTCTAGTAGAAGCATGAATGGAGATACCAAGGCACAAAGATTAAGGCACAGATAGATATATAGATTGGCTTGAATCCGCTTTGCTCCCTCACTAACTGCCTACCTTTGGCAGATGGCAATTCTGGGCTTCAGTTTCCTCAACTGGTTAATCAAAAGAGTAGGATATTCTTTGCAGGAGTGAAATGGAGTAGTGTATATAAGGTCTTAGAGATGTTACTGCAAAGTCAACAATTGGGATATTTCTCCCAATGTTGTCAGCCTCACAATTTGTAATGGTGGACTTCTTGAAATTCCAGGTAGAAGGAGCTTCTCTTGAAAACATATACATGATTGGAGTAAGTTTAGGAGCCCACATAGCTGGGTTTGTTGGAAAGATGTTCGATGGGCAGCTGGGGAGAATTACAGGTAAGGTTTCCTGAGAATGGGCCTGGGTGGTTGGCGTGGGCAGGATGTTCACAGGGAGCCCGTTATGCAGGCAATCTAAGTCCTTAGCTAGCTTCTCCAGTTACCATCTCTAAGCACATGTACAAAAAGAAGGCCATAACAATATTGACCTCAATCTATTATTTAATAAAATATGTACACAACATTTTTAAAATTGTATATGTCATAGCAAATATTGGTAGTGACTTTTTCTTTTATGACTAGAAGAGCAGCTATGTCCCTTGAGAACTTGATCTGTGCACCCAAAGCAGATAGCCTTTTTCCTTACATTGGATCTAGAACAATCTGAACTACATGTGCAATATGTTTCTGTCCCCAGGCACAGCTGGAGTCTCGTGATAGGAAAATAAGCTGGGAATACTGATGGCTGAGTCTTACTCTCTGAATATCAGCTTTCAGGTCAAAGCTGAATGAAAACACCCAGAAACTTTAGCAGGTGAAACTCCAAACAAAGATTCCCTTGCTGGGATGTCTTGCCTGTTATGCTGTAACTTTCCACAGTTACAAATGATGGCCTGAAAGAGCCTTTCTCTTTAAGAGACAGGGCTCCACCCACTTCTAACTTTCTCAGTATCCATTCTAATAGGAGATAGCTCTTTAATTTTTTTGTTGTCTGTGAAGGGCCTGCCTGCCAAAGCACTAAAGCCACTGATGTCAAAATTCAACTTCCCCAAGTGTCTCCCACTCCTCTCCTTTCTCTACCACTACATCCACCTCACTCTTTCTTCCTTCCCAGCAGCCCTCATTCAGGAAGTCTGAGTCATGGCATACTGGGAGTTGTATTCCAAAGCACCTGACACGTGCTGCCTGGGGGTTAGGAAAGTAGTGTATGTCCCACAGCCACACTGCTAGACCCTTTAACAAATTATTCCTGAGCTGAGATATGACTAGTTGTCACAGGGTGTTAATCCCATGGTTTATACCTTTGAGTCACACTTACTTGGATGCTTTTAATATTTCCAGACTTGGAGACAAAGGGAATAGTGATCAAAAGAAATAATAGTAGTCATGGAACTGTGTGAAGGGTACTAGCTATTCAAAGCAACCTGAAAAGACTTTGTCAATAGTAGGTGTTCAAGACCAGGGCTCAGGTTCTTCAAGGTGCCCTGCCTCCATGTGGCCCTTGTTTCCTTGTGTTCTCAGTTCCCAGCTGGCCTTGGAGCTCAGCGTATGTTTGCCTTTAATAGTGTATCTAAGTACAAAGTTCAGAGAAAAAGTTAGGAAAGTTTTTTTATTTTTGTGTGCTTTACGGTATGAAAGCAATTCAACCAATTAGCCTCAATTACACATACTTTGAAAAGATTTCATTTTTGTTTGTGAGTATCAAAGATGAGTGATTTTTTTCAAATTCAGTAAGCCTGCACCTTACCTGTTGGGAGTTACTCTTCTGCTAAAGTAGGTCTTTTCTTTGTGGTGTTTAAAAGGTGATAAAGTCTTTTAAAAAATGATTTATGGTGTTTACTTCTTTTTCACGGTGTATAAATGTTCGGTGGCTAACTTCAAGCTACAGTTGACCTCACTGGCCATGAAGTTTGGGAACAGTTAAATAAATTGTGCTCTCCAGTGCTGGTGTCAGCTCCCTCTAGCCACCACTGCCTTGTTCTATTTAGCCCCGGGTCCTCAACCTGCTAGCAAAGCTGTTGCCATGACTACTTTGAATGTGCATGCAATGTAATCTCATCTCTGATCATGGAAATTCCCAAAGCCAGCTTTCTTTCTACTCTGGACTCACAAGGCTGTGCTCTGTGGCCTAGATTCAACTCGCGGTCCATAGTTCAGTTTTCTATCTTTACGGACTTCCCCATCCTCATCCTCATTCTCTCTGAGCACCACAGCCAACCTCAGCTGTCTGCAAGAGCATTCTGAGGGTAAAGTATTCCCTCTCCTAGACCCCACTGTTTTGCCTGAGTAGATTCATCTGATGGGGGGAGGGAGGTAGGAAGGGGTGGGAGTTGGCATGTTACCCACGTTTATTCTCAACTCCCAAGAGCTGGCCACTTCTGCTTGCTGATGATCCCAGTCACAAGGACTGCCTCATCTCTCGATTGCCCTTTCTTTCACCTGCCCTTCTTTTTTGCTTTTCCTCTCTAGGCACATTTCCTAGTATTACTTCTCATAACTTTTCCAACAGAATATGCAGAGGATGAGTGGATTTTAAAATATGTTAAGTACCTACATCCCTTAATAAGTGATATAAATTACACATTAAATTGTATTCTCCATCCCAAGTGCGTATAAAAATCACTTTGAAGGTGCTTATAAAGCTGGCTTACTGAATTGGAATCTCTAGGGTTGGGGTCAGGAGTCTGTACCACCAAAAGATGCAAAGTGATCTAAAACCACACTTCAAGAAATGATCTCAGAGCTATTCTGTGCAAGATAGAATAGCTATGCGGCCACTAGCCACATAGGGTCATTGAGCACTTGAAATGTGCTTATGCAAACTAAGAGGTGCTAAAACTGAAAAATACATATTGGATTTTAAAGAATAACAACAACAACAAAGAATTTTTTTTTAAAGATTTATTTATTTGTGCATACAGAACTGGGGTACAGGCCAGAGGCTCAGGGGCGGTGAGAGGCTTCACCAGAGACAGAGCAGAGAACAGAACAGGTAGATCAATGAAGTACACTGCTGAGGGGAGCAGCGGGCGGGTCAGGAGAGGTCTGCCGTGCCATGTGGTCACCTCCGGGGCAGGCGGGAATTGAACTCATGTGGAAGCAGCTTTAGATTCTCAGTGCTGTGATTTAACCCGCTGTGCCACCAGGGAGGGGCAACAAAGAATATTTTTAAAATCTCAAATTTTTATTATTTTTAAGAAAGATTTATTTTTATTTATTTATGCATATAAGAACTGGGGTCTAGGCCAGAGGTGGAGGGTGGTGGTGTGGAAGGATTCACCAGGACAGGAAGATCCTCTGAAATACACTGCTGAGGGGAGCAGCAGACAAGACAGGCGAAGTCTGCTCCTCCGTGTGGGTCAGCTCCTTGGCCAGGGATCAAACTCATGCTGCAGTGGCTGGCAATAATTTGATAGAGCTGAGGTTAATCCCTGTGGCACAGGGGAGCTCTCATTTTTTTTAATATTACATGTTGAAATGATAATATTTTGGACATCCTGGGCTATATAAGGGCACACATACTTGGATATACAAGGGCAATTTAATTGTCCTGGTTTCTTTTTTCTTTTTTTTTTTTTTTAAAGATTTATCCATTTGTGCATACAGAACTCAGGTACAGGCCAGAGGCTCAGGGGTGGTGAGAGTCTTCACCAGAGACAGAGTGGGGAACAGAACAGGCAGATTGACAAAGTACACTGCTGAGGGGAGTAGCGGACGGGCCAGGAGAGGTCTGCCGCGCCATGTGGTCACCTCTGAGGCAGGCGGGAATCGAACTCATGCGGAAGCGGCTTTAGATTCTCGGTGCTGTGCTCCAACCCGCTGCGCCACCAGGGAGGGCCCCTGGTTTCTTTTTTTAATGTACTTTCTAGAAGTTTAAAAAATTAGATAGTGAATGCCACTGCCTTAAAGGGTTCATGGTGACCTTGGGGGACCCTGAAATTGCACACATTAATATTGGATGTCTGTCCTGGAGAGAGGTTCAGAAATTTCATCAAATCTCCAAATCAAGTTAATGCTGCAATAAAAGGCAAGAATCACTAGCTAGACAGTTTCTAATGATCTTTGAGGAACAAGGAAACATTCCATTTTTCCACTTAGTTTCTATTCCATAATTTCAAAGTGTCCTGAATTCAGATTCATACATCCTTTTATAAGTCTTCTGAAGAAGCTATTAAGTCTACATCCATTTTGCAGATCAGGAAACTGAGGTTCAGAGAAATACAGTAAGCTGCCTAAAGTCACATGCCTATTTGGTGTTGGCCATGAGACTCCATGTCATATCTCTGACTTCATTGGTCTCAACCCACAGATAATACAAAACTTTTTAGGCAGTTTGACTGTAATTTTTGTAAGCTTGTCATTTGCTATGGCTTAACATAAAGGAGATCATATATGTGAACCTGTCACAGGTTCACTGTGACAGTCCCCATTTATGCTGCTTGTCCTAGTATAATAATTAATGCACCCTCATTACCCTCAAAATTGCCCTGCTTTAGATGTTATATAGTGAGCCAGTTTATCCACATGGAGCTGTGACTACAATGCACGGGGGCTCTCACTGCTCATTTTCTTAAGAGGGGAAGTGGTAATACCTTTCGTGAGGATGGTGAGGCCTCCCCAGCAATTCTGTCCCAGTGATGAGTTTCCCATACTGTGTTGAAAACACCCTGTCAACTCCAGTGACTAGGTGTTGAGTCATTTCTACATACATCAGTTTCAATTGAGATAGTAGTGATCTTGGGAAGAAAGAGATAAGGAAATCAAGAAAGGGGCAGGTAAAGAAATGCCTCTAGGAAGCAAAAGCTTCTGGAGAGAAGAAATGGGAAGATCAAGGCTAGAAACAGGAAATCAGAGGGGTAAAGATGCTGCCTTTTGGATTCTTCTATATAACAGTAGGGTGTGGGAGATGTTACTTAAAATAATGTCCACAGATACAAAGCTTCAGGCAGGTTCCCATTAGGCAGGTTTCTGGCAAGTGAGGACTTTTTGTGCCTTGGTGGGTTTGTGCTTGCTTTTTGTTTAAGTTTAAAATTTTCTGTTTGTTTACAGTGTCATGGGAGCTGGTCTTTTATAACTCCAAGTGTTTAGTGATGATGAGGGACGCCTAGCTAACACTGACCAAGGGCAAGAAATAAGTTCAGGCACTTATGGGTGGGTTAGTTCCGTAGAAATTGACACTCACTTTTTCCTCCCTCTTGGACTTATGCCACGATACCTGGCCACACCAGTGAGTTTCACACTCTCCCACTCAGCTTGCCAAACCCAGTGCAATGAAACCAAGCCTCTACAGAGAAAGGTGATTGTATGGTGAGACTATGGCTCTGGGTAAGACATCTGAAGTCCCTAAACCTCAGTTCACACATCTTTAAAATGAGAATAACAGAAACCCTGTCTCCCTCACAGGCTTGTGATGTGGACTGGATGAGATAGTACATATGAATAAAAATGGAAACTCGGAAGTTTGTTTTACTAATAACAAGAAGGAAAGGTTGAGTGAAGTTTCTGGGTCATTTAAAGTGGGATAAAGAGAAGTATAGCATCTCCTTTTATATACACCCTTTGGTTCCCCACCCACACGGTAGGAACTAGGTAAACCCCTAGCCTCTGGTCCACCTCTGCTGTACACAGCCTGGTGCGTAGCTTTGCACGAAATACTTCTCTTGAGGGAGTGTGGGTGCCAGGGTAATAGGACTACTGTGGGAAGGGCTGTGGAAAGGAGCCTGGCAAAGCAGGGTGGGAACGCAATGCTTGCCCATGGGAGGGTGACCTGCAGCAGCCTGATCCATCTTGGGGAGCCACCTAAAGCCCTGCTGCAGGTGACTCATGGCGTCGGGCTGCCAAGCTGACTCTGTTTTCCTTCCAGGTCTTGACCCTGCGGGCCCTTTATACAACGGGAAACCTCCCGAGGACAGATTAGATCCCAAAGACGCTCAGTTCGTTGACGTCATCCACTCCGACACTGACGGTAACATTTCTACCCGGCGGGTCAGGGAGCCCCGCGACTCTGCGGGGGAGCTGGCGTGTGGGGGCGGATCAGGTTTCTCCAGATTCCTTCTTTCTGGGTGGCTCAGGTCCAAACCCACAGGACTCACAGGGAAGCTGGTTGAACGCAGACATTGAGGATCTCTTGCGGGAGTGGGGGCGCTTTCCTGTCCCTTCTTCCTTGTAAGGCGTGCTTCCTGGCCAATCCAGGACAGGCCGACCTGCACCGCGTTTGGACGGATGTTTCCATATGTGCAACTGGGTCTGCTCCTCTGGTGATTTTGTTTCTTTTTGGTTTCTGTTTCTTTCATAATTATCTTAAACTAAAAAGTATGTTGAAGGGTTGTGTCTCCTGGAGGAGCGATTCAGAACCACCGGTAGGACTCCATCCAGGTCTTTGCCCATCCACACTGGGGTTTCTGTCTTTCTTGTTGCGAATTTCATATTCAGCCAGGGTCTTGGGAGCTGGAGATAAGGATATGTCCTTATATGTGAATGTCTGGGGAAAGAACTGGAAAGCTAGAATCTAGAGAGGGCTGAGGGGACAGAGCAGAATGATCATTCAATCATTCAATTTTACACATTCTGTGATACAATCACCTGAGCAACCCTTGAACTCCTATCATTGGCAGCTGGTGTGCTATTCAGCAGTTGTTCTCTTTAGAGGAAATGTCCCTGCCAAAAAACTGTATTCTTACTGGCAAAAATACTACTTTACTCAAGTGCATACCTCTGTGCCATTTTAACACTTAGTGGAATAGAGCAATTTTTTTTTTAATGCATACAAGAACTGGGGTACAGGCAGGGGGTGGTGAGAGGTTTCACCAGAGACACAGTGGGGAACAGAACAGACAGATCACTGAAATTCACTGTTGAGGGGAGCAATGGACAGGTGGAGAGATCTGCTGCACCATGTGGGTCACCTCCCAGACTAGGAATCAAACTTTAGCTGTACTGGCTGCAGATAGCTTCATACTGCTGCGCTTTAACCCATTGTGCTACCAGGGAGGGCCCAGAGGAATTGATTTTTTTATACCTGAAGAGAAAGGGAATTTTGAAGAAAAGAATTTTGCAGCCAGGCAGCCGTGAACTGAAATCCAGGGTCATGGTGTAATCATATTTGTTCCCTAAATCCTCTGTGCTTCAGTATGTTCACCTGTAACTTAACTTCATCTGAATTTACCCAACATCTACTTTGCAGACATTGTGAAAATCAGAGAAAAACCAAGAAGTATCATTCCCACAGATACATGTAGCTCCTCAGTATGAAATAGGTAGTAATATTATTTTGATGAGATATTCCATATATATGCAGATAAATATATGATTCTTGCAATCAAGTATTTTACTGATTATTTGGGGGTATAATGTTAAAGAGAATAAGCAGTTACTAAGTATATCTATAATTTTAGATCTCCAGTTTCTAGAAGCATTTCTCATCTTTTTACCAATCTAGATCCCAAAATTTACAATATTTTTCCTACTAAGTCAATATTAATTTTTCTCCTATTTGGAAATTACAGGGTTCCAATCAAATGTAAAGAAGAAAAATTTTATTAACCTTGCAGTGAGTGAATACAAGAATGGAAACAATGCCATGACCATTTCCATAGCCTCCTAGTTAGAAATCATTGCTTTCTAAATAAGTACCTAGGTCATTTGGGGCACAATATTTAGATAAGCATAACAATAATAGTGATGGGAATAATAATGAGGTCGCTGCAATATAATCTCTGCTTCTATCCTGCAGGCAGATGAGCTAGGAGGTGTGAAAAGTTCAGAGCATAGACAGTGGGAAGCAAAGCAAAGCAGGAAAGCTCAGAGCAGTGTAAAAGCATAGTGTGTTCTCTTCCAGCACTGGGCTACAAAGAGCCTTTAGGAAACATAGACTTCTATCCAAATGGAGGAGTAGACCAACCTGGTTGTCCCCAAACAATACTTGGAGGTAAGTGTTGATATTTTATGTTTTGTACACTCATGGCTTAAGAAATTTTAAAAACTGATGTTATTCTATGTGGATTAGTACTTAATAAAAGCCAGATTCCCTGAGAAATAGAAGTGTCATAAATATAAGCTAAAGTTATTGCTCAAATAGTTACTGCCTTTAAAAAACACAACATTTTGATTAAAAGCTATTATGAACTAGTTCTCTCTTTTGACAAGGTGTGTCTTTGACATAAAAATTCCAATCTGGAAATACCTGCTGGAAGACTGTGGAAAATATAGACCAAAAAAAATCAGCTATCCAACCAAACATTCTTTTATATTAAAATTTTAGAAATAATCTAAATGTCCAGTATAGGGAAATGATTTAACAGTATGGTGTGCAGACATAAAGGAACATAATTGTTAAAAATAATATTTTAAGAGATTAATGAAGATGCTTACAAAATGATAAATTTTTGAAAGAGACAAAACTCTACAGTATGAGCCTAATTAACTTTACTAATTTTGATTACCCTCTTCTGAATGACTCTATCCTCTGACTCATGAATCTGACGCTCTGTGCCGAAGTTCTCCATCATCTCTAACTCTTCTGACATCCATGTCTTTGTCTCATTGGCCTCCTTTCTTGCCATCGGGCCTCATTGTACCACTAAGACTTAACTGAGGCTTGGCCTCTTCTTCCCATTCAGCCTTTCAGTGCTGCCTCCTACCGGTCAGCCTCTCTCACTTTAGCCTTCACCCAGCAGACAGGGAACTCTGGCAAGTGGCTGCCATTCTGATTGCATTGTGTACTCTCAGGACCTTAGGGTTTTACTACAGTAACCCCCTACCCACCCCTTACTGCTACCTGGGAGCGTCCCAGAGCAGTCATGGAGCCTGTTGATTGAGTGAAAGGTTCAGGTGTACGCTTCAACTTCTCCTTGGCTCTCAATAATGTCAGGGAATCTTCCTGTTTTATCTCTTGCTGTCTCTGTGATCACACTTTATGCTTTCAACTCAAATAACTTCCTGCTTGTAAATCATCACCTCTTAAAGGCGAGCTCCATATGACTTTTGTATCCAGATTAAGGTTCTACCTGAGGGAGACATTTTATTGACCTTAGTTTAGATGTTCTATTCATGTTTCATCTTGACCCAGATTGGAGAGATTCTTCCAACCTTTTTCAAAGGCCACTTCCTCTACCAGTTACTCCCTGATGCCTTCTTTCCCTACTATTTTTAGTAGTTTAGAGGGTATTGCCTTCTGCTGCAAACCTCTGGGGTAACCTCTGCATGCCAGTGGATTTTTCTCCTCCTTTATACTGACAAAAGAAAGACTGAGGTGGAATCCTGATTCAGGCATATGTTAGCTGTGTGACCTTGGTGAAGATGCTTAACCTCTGAGTCTCAATGCTCTGCTTAGTCAATGGGAGTAATCATACTTACCTTATTTTCTCCTGCTTCTTTGTGATTTTTATGTAAAGACTACATGGGATCACATACACCAAATCCGTTAGCACAGTGTCTGGCATATAGGAGACAGATGAATGAATTTTGTGTGTGTGCACATATATATGGGTGTGTACACAATAAGTGATATACCATTAAGTGTCATGACTGCTCTCCTCGTTAATCATCCCCTTTACAACCAAGGATACGAGTTCTTTAAATGCGATCATCAGAGGTCTGTGTACCTGTACCTTTCTTCCCTGAGAGAGAACTGCAGTATCATTGCATATCCCTGTGATTCCTACCGGAAGTATAGGAATGGCCAGTGTGTCACCTGCGGCGCACTGCACAAGGAGTCCTGTCCCCTTCTGGGTAAGTCCAACAAGAAGTCCTCCCCTCCAAGAACTAATTATTTTTGTAGGATCCTGAAATTGTTTTACTATCTTAAAACGAACCTGAAAATTGAGTATATTTAAAACATTGACTGTCAGTTTTTTCTAGTCAGTTTGTTCTGAGAACTACTCTGGTGCCTCCTAATAAACATTATTAGAAAAGTGATTTATATAAGATTTTATCTAGAAGGTAGTGCAATTTCCTCTAGTCTAGTCTAACATGAAAAAGAAGGTTCCAGAAGAGCCTCCAAAACTACACAGGGCACAGTCATTTTACAGTAATCTGCTCCCAAAGAGATAGGAACATCCTCCCAATGTACACAGCCTCTGCTGAGGTGGACCTTTGTGTCAAATGAGACTTGAAGAGTGAGCCCTTCCAATAATGCACTCACTGCACATATTGTGAGCATGTGCTGGTGTTAGCTGGTGTGATAGATACTATGGGGCTGCTTGGATATTTGCTAAGATTTAGTAGAAATATTCCAGGTGATGAGAAACTTTAAGACTGGAAGTTCAAATGAAAAATTTCCAGTTTTTCCCAAAGGAACAATCCAAATTCACATCAGAGCTTGCCTGAGACAAGGGGTTCTCAACCCTGATTGTGCATGAGAACCACCTAGAGAACTTTCAGAAATACTGATGCCTGGGTCCTCAGAACAATTATGTCAGAATTTGGAGGCCCTTCTCTGGGGGGGGGGGACGACAGAGGAAAGCGAGCAACCCACCCCACCCCTCACCATAGCACACAACCTCATTCCTGCAGGCACAGATATGAAGGAGGACAGTCCCTACTTGGTGACATAGTCACATGGCAAACCTAATTGCAGTTTTCCAGAGAGCACATCACTTTGCAAGAGTGTACTATTTTAGGCATATGCCTGACTCTGTTTTAATCTATAAAAATGAACTTATTACTGAAAAATGTCAGTGCTATTCTTGGATCACCCCAGTGTGTGCCACTCGCCCCTCCCAACCCTTGTGCCAGAAGCAGGGCTAGGTGATGTAATATCAGTAGGAAGGGGGCGTGTCACCACTGTGTCCTTTGGCAAGCCTTAGCTGTTGGGAACAGCAGGTTCTGGGGATAGGGATACAGTGCCCTGGCGACCCTGTAGGTCCTCATCATGGGGAGAGGAGAAGGGGGGTTATCTCCAGTGGTGGTAGGCTCAAACTCACTGTTCCCTCTTCCCTGTATACTTTTTTTTTTAAGATTTATTTATTTATTCATACAGAACTGGGGTACAGGCCAGAGATGTGGAGGGTGAGAGGATTCACCAGGGACAGAGTGGGGAGCAGAACAGGCAGATGGACGAAGTACACTGCTGAGGGGAGCAGCGGCCGGGTCAGGAGAGGTCTGCCACGCCATGTGGATCTCCTCCCAGGCAGGCAGGATCGAACTCATGCAGAAGTGGCTTAAGCTTCTTAGTTCAGTGCTTTAACCCGCTGCGCCACCAGGGAGGGCCACCCCTGTATACTTTTATATTTACACAATAATGAAGCGGTTTAACATTACAGGTTTCCAACTTGTTTTATAGGCTACTATGCTGATAACTGGAAAGAACATTTAAAGAAGAAAAATCTTTCTATAACTAAAGCATTCTTTGACACCGCTGAGAAGGAGCCCTACTGCAGTGAGTGCTGGATGTGGCTGTCTGCTGTTGCCCAATCCTTTCTTTTTGGAATAATTGAGTCTCTGCTTCTATGCTACTTCTTGGCGAGTGAAAGCCAAGATGAAGTTTATTTACTTTTTAAAGGTTTATTATTTATGCCTACAAGAAGTGGGGTCATGCCAGAGGTATGGGGGTGTGGGTGAGAGGATTCACCAGAGACAGAGTGGGGGGCAGAACAGGCAGATCAACTAACTACACTGCTGAGGGGAGCAGCAGGCAGGTCAGGAGAGGTCTTCTGTGCCATGTAGGTCAGCTCCCTGGCTAGGGATCGAACTTGTGCTGCAGTGGCTGTAGATAGCTTCATAGTGCTGTGCCCCTTGTGCCACCAGGGAGAACCAAGATAAAGTTTAGAATTAGTTGAATGCTGATTCAACCATGTATTAGCTATGTGACATTGGCTAAGGCATTTAACCTCTCTGGGTTTCAATGTCAATAGGTAAAATAGGGATAATACTTGTTTTCTGGGTTATCGAGATTAAAGTCTCAATAAATCATAGTCATTAGTTTCATTAGATGGCCACTCTAATCATTGAGAGCTTCTTGATATGAGATTGGGTCTAGAAAAATCAGGTGTCTACCACATTTATGTGTCAATTCCAGCTCCAAAGCAACCATGATGACCTTTTTAGGGAAGTAGGAAGCAGTTGGGAGTATCTCTCTCTTCCTATGTTTTCTCCCTGTTTTGCAGTGTATCATTACTTTGTGGACATTATAATTTGGAACAAGAATGTAAGAAGAGGGTCTATTACAATCAAGTTGAAAGACAAAGCTGGAAACACCACAGAATCCAAACTCAATCAGTAAGTTGGGCTGGGATAGTTTTCAATTTCTCTTTTTGCTCAGAGAAATAAATCCCCCAATATATAGCTATTTTTATAAGTATTTATTTTTGTGTAGGGGTGTAGGTCAGAGATACGGGGTATGAGAGTATTCACCAGAGACAGAGTGGGGAGCAGAACAGACAGACTTACTGAAATACACTGCTGAGGGGAGCAGTGGATGGGTCAGGAGAGGTCTGCTGTGCCATGTGGGTCAGCCCCTGGTGGAGATGGAGCTCATGTTGCAGTGGCTGCTGATCGCTTCATAGTGCTGTATTTCACCCCTTGAGCCACCAGGGAGGACCCACCTTCTGAATTTTACCTATGAAGAATGTGAAGCTCAAAGAGGCCAAATGATTTGGCTAATATCACACAGCTGGTCAGGGTAAATCAGGTGAAATCAGGATTCCTCCATCCCTGACACTTACACTGTATCCACTATATTATATTCCTCTCACTAAGTTGTATTGCTCCCTCCACTCTGACATGCTTGAAGTTTGTGGGGAATGGGAATTTTTTTTAGAAGTTCGTATTCATCTTTCAGGGAACTCTCTTTGGTGATTTCTAACCTACTGTAGGGCAGCACTTTCAGGGAAGATACCGCTAGGGGGCGCATTTGGAAATCCAGGCTCAGGTAACTTCTGGGCTCCGCTTGAGTGTGGAAGCTGGGCAGAGACCTCATTTGGCGACTCTAGTAATAGCAGGGAGGGAAGGTTGTGCTCACCTAGCAAAATTTGGACATTCATGCCAACACTTGGTTACATATTTGCTTTACCGGTGTCTTAGAAGTTTTAATCCTACATAGTGAATTTCTTCCAACTAGGAATTCCTAAATTTGGAGACTTAGCTCTTGGTCAAGATAGAAACCCTTTCAACTTTGTTAGTCAAGTTCACTCTCTTACTTTAGTCAAGGCTATGAAAATATCATTACCACTCAGTGATTATGTGGGGAAAAGGGAAACAGTCACTCCATTTCATAGTGAGATTATAACTGCTTTTCTCTTTTTTCAAAGTTAACTTTAGTATGTTAGCATTTAGTATGATTACTATTTAAAGTAAGGGAAATAATATTAGTGGGTGCCCTGAGTTTTTCTATTCTTACTAGACTGTGGATACAAATGGAGTCACATTCATGTTTACTATCTGCCTGGTGACTGAGTATACATGGTTCCATATTTTACATGCATTTTTAAAAACATTTTAAAAAGGTTGAGAGATAACACACACATCATAAAATTCACTTTTAAATTTTATAAGTAATTGGTTTATAGTATACTCACAAAATGTTCACTGTCACCACAGTCTAATTCCAGAACATTTTTGTTATCTCAATATGAAATTTCTTACTCATTTGTAGTATTTCCCTATTTCTCCCTTGTTCCTAGCCTCTAGCAAGCACTCATCCACTTTCTTCCTCTATGTAGTTACCTCCTCTGGGTATGGTATATATAAATGAAATCATGCGATATGTATCATTTTGTGTCTGCCTTCTTTTTGCCTAGTTTAATGTTTTAAAGATTTATCCATGGTACCGCATGTATCAACAAATTTGTTCCTTTTTAGGGCTGGGTAGTATTCCACTATGTGTATACTACACATTTTATTTTGATCCATATGTGGGGTTATGAACCCAGCAAGCTTCTACATACCACTCTGTTCTGCTCACATATACCACATTCTATTTGGGTTGTTCAATTCTTTGGCTGTTATGAACAATGCTGCTATAATTATGTCATAGCATTGTTTTTTTTTCTGTGACTGTTTTCATTTCTCTTGAGTAAATATCTAGCAATGAAATTGCTGGGATATGGTAACTGGCATTTTTTTTTTAAGATTTATTATTTTATTTATGCATACAAGAACTGGTGTGGAGGCCAGAAGTGTGACCAGGATGAGAGCATTTACCAGAGACAGAGTGGGGAGCAGAACAGGCAGATATACTGAGATACAACTAGTTGGGGGAGCAGTGGGCGGGTCAGGAGAGGTCTGCTGCACCATAAGGATTAGCTCCCTGGCCAGGGATTGAACTTGTGCTCCTGTGGCTGGTGATAGCTTCATAGTGCTGAGACTTTAACTCCTGTGCTAACAAGAGGCACAACTCTGCCATGTTTTCAGGAGCTGCCTGTCAAGCAGTAGTTTTCCAAAGAGGCTGTACCATTTTATGTTCCCATCAGTAGTGTATGAGATTCCAATTTCTTCACAAACTTTCCAACACTGTTATATATCTTCTTTTTTCTTTTTAATTGTGAAACAAAAAGTAAAACCCTTGACATCAAATGAATCCTTTTAATCATTACCAAGTGTGGGTTTCAGTAGTATTTATCAATAGTACATTCATGTGGTTATGAAAAAGACCTCCAGAACTTCATCATTTTGCAAAACTGCAAATCTTGCTCTGTTTCCCCCTTTCCACAGACCCTGACAACCTCCATTGTACCTTCTGTTACTCTGAATTTGACTACTTTAGACACCTCCTGGGAATGGAATCATAAATACTTGTCTTTTTTGTCTTTATTTTCTCTAAGTATACTGTCCTCAAAGTTCAGCCATGCTGTAGCATGTGACAGGATTTCTTTTCTTTTGAAGGTGGAATGTACCATTGCATGTAGGTATCACATTTTATTTATCTATTCATCTGCTGAGGGACATTTGGGTAGTCCCTACATTTCTTGGCAACTGTAAATAATGCTGTTATGAACATGGATGCAAATCTCTTGTAGACATTGCTTTCATTGTTCTTGAGTATGTGCCCAGCAGAGGACTGCTGCATCATGCGGTAAGTCTACTTTTAATCTTTTGAAGGAACTCCGTGCTGTCTTTCATAGCAGAGGCACCACTTATATATATATATGTATATACATATACACACACACACATATGTATATAATATATATGTATATATGTATACATGTATAATGTATATGTATACATCTATATGTATATATATTATACACACACACATATATAATAGTTTATTTTTACACCTTTTTGTGCATTTTTCCATCTCAGTTGCAATCTCCTTGGGCTTCCCATCACCAAATCAAATCACACATGGCAGAGGCACCACTTATATTAACACACCGACAGTACACAAGGGTTCCAATTTTCCACATCCTCATCACCTATTTTCTTTCTTTCTTTTTTCCACAGCAGCCTTTATAATGGGTGTGAGGTCATTCTGTATCCTCTGGGACAATCTTCATTATTCTTTCTATAGTTCTTTACTTTTTAGTAAGCAGATTGCTCCAGAATCACTTTGCATTTTCCCTCCCCTAGCACTGGGGTCAGCAATTTTTTCCAGAGAACCCTTGTTCCTTTGAGTGGAAATGGTATTTAGAAACTCAAAATCTTGACACCTTTCATATTAGTGTTGTTCCTGGAACTTACACATGATTCTATGAGGTTGGGGGTGACAGGCACATCCCCCTATGCCACCCAATCCCTATCCCACCTCCAAATTAAGGAGTAAGCTAAAGCCTTCTCTGTTCTGAAGCTTAGGGGCTCCTCTGCCTATTTGCCAGCCCTTCAGGGAGACTTTCACCCAGCTATGGGGAAACTGAAGGCTTAACTGGAAGTTTCAGCTGCAGAAAGCATCTCCACACACCTGGATAAAAGTATTGGGATTTGGGAAATAGCTAATTTAAGGTTTATCTTGACAGGCAGGACTGAATAAAAGCTATGCTTAAACACAATCTATCAGTATCTGGTTTGGCTAAAAACGTACACATTTGTCTAGAAGTGTAGTTTAATGAAATGACAAACTTTGACCTTAGCCACAACTGGCTTTAAATCCCTGAAAGGCTGCAGGCACACCCTATGGCCCAGGTGAGCTTAAACTCTGCTAGCATATGTGTGCTTGTCTGTAAAATGAAGATAACAACCTCACCTGTAGAATTTGTGAGGCGAGTAGAGACGTGGCAAGGGAGAAAACTTCGAGCATGCGGTTGGCAGTCAGCACATCCCTCTAGTGTCCTAGCGTGTCGTCAGCTCTGGGGTCAGCAGCTTCGCTCATGCACTGCTTTGGATCCAGCCGACTTTGCTCCAGAAAATTGGCTAGTGCAAGCCGTAGGATCAGCTGAGTACCTGCTTATGAATGATTTGTAGGCTGGAACAATTTTGCTAACAATCTATAACCATTCAAAATATTATTCTTTCTTTCCAGTGAGCCCACAACATTTCAGAAATACCAGCAAGTGAGTTTGCTTGCAAGATTTAATAAAGATCTGGATAAAGTGGCATTGATTTCCTTGATGTTCTCTACAGACAATATAATAGGCCCGAAGTACAAGCTCAGGATTCTCCGAATGAAATTAAGATCACTTGCCCATCCAGAGAGGTGAGCTATAGGCAGGGCTTGACAAGCTCTGTTTTCCCAAGATTGGTTCCTGTCCATTATGCTTGGTCTGATGCTTTAATAGAACTTCATCATTCATGGTGAAAGAAGTGAGGGATTTTACAAAAGTAGATTTGATTGAAAACAAACAAAAAAAATAGTCCAGTAAGCCAAGAAAATTAGCGTGGTATGACCCTAATGAGAAATGCCCCAGAAATTCAAGGAAATGATACTGTTGAGAGCTCTTAACATTATAAGTTCCTCTTAGCCACACACATTGCTTGCAAGTTAATAATTTGCTATAGAAAAGAAAGTCTCATATGTTGCAAACTGCTGCAAGAACGAGAAATAAAAAATTGGAAAAATTTTTCAGGAGCTGAAAAATTGAAATCTTTTATTTCATGGATAAAATAGAAAAGTGCTACATCACTGTAAATTGGTGCTTACATTATAAAGTGTAAAATAAACTAGCTATATCAATGTTAGCTTTGATAGCTGCAGAGAGGATGTCCTGGCTCAGAAAATGCTCACTAAAGGATTTAGGGGCACACAACCTATACGCAGTTGGTTAAAAAAAATAAATAAAACAATGTGTATCTGTGGGAAGAGAGTGATTTTTTTATAGTTTATTTTTACATCATTTTGTACATTTTTCCATCTCAGTTGTAACCCCCATGGGCTTCCCGCACCATATTACCCGTGTGCCATGAGTGAGTGATTTTTTTAAAGCACAGAGCTAAGATGGTGTACATGTTTTGTGACAAATGTGACTCTATCCCATAGTCCTAGCCCCCAGTCTGTGAATGGAGAGGGACTGAAAATGAGTTTTTTGTGATTATACATCCCTTTTTTTCTCAGGCTTTAGGATACCTGAAACATTTAATAAACCTTTAATAAATTATTTAATAATAATAATACATGTGGCTCCTAAGAGGATAATCACTGCATTTTAAAGCTATGGAACTTTTTAATATTTCTCCTCTTGATGATTAAAGTAATACATGTTCATTTTATGAATCTGGAAAGTACAGAAAACCCTAGGAAACTAATTGAAAACTGTCACTCAGAATGTCATGATTCAGAGGCAACTACTATTTAATAGTTTTGATGACTTCTTCTAACTGTTGTGTTATTGTTTTTCGATTTAGTTGATGTTGTGTGGTAAGTAAAACTTTACATTCCCCTTTTTTGTTGTGGATGTTGCTTTGCTTATTTACCATAACACTTTCCTATCACATTAGAAATAATGATTAACTAATTGTACATCCTAACAATATGATGCAGTTTCCTTTACTAGAATGTGTTTTTTTTTTTAAGATTTATTTATTTATGCATACAGAACTGAGGTACAGGCCAGAAGTGCAGGGGGCAGTGAGAGGCTTCACCAGAGACAGAATGGGGAGCAGAACAGGCAGATCATCACAGTACACTGCAGAGGGGTGCAGCAGCTGCCGGGTCCGGAGAGGTCTGCCTGGCCTTGTGGTCACCTCCAGGGCATGTGGGGATCGAACTCTTGCGGAAGTGGCTTCAGCTTCTTAATGCAGTGCTTTAACCCGCTGCGCCACCAGGGAGGGCCCAGAATGTGGTATATTTATTCTTCTGTTGACCAGGATGCTTTTCCTTATTTTACAGACCCCAGTTGTGTCGGTATGATCTCATATTGTTGGAAAACGTGGAAACATCCTTCCAGCCCATTCACTGCTCAAAGTTGCAGTTGTAACTTGTCAGGGCAGGAGAGTGCCAGTAACATCAAGAAAGCCACAACTCTAGACTTTTCAAAAGCTTCACCTCACCTTTTCCTCCTGGCGCAGATGGATGGAGTAATTAGATTTTTTTCCTGTAATGTCCTATGGATGTCAAGTTGTAAAATGTCAAACAGCATGGATTATAAAACAGTGCTGGGGAGGGAGCCCCTAAGTAGGGCAAGTCAGAAATAACCGGGCTCCGCCCAGCCCTGAAGCTAGTCTGCCTGAGTCCTGCGGTTTCCTTTGTTCTGGCCTGTCCTGTCAGATTCTGCTGCTTGTGGCAGTGGAGGTTGGTCAAGTATATTAAAACAAAAGACTGGTGGGAAACCTCACTTTGGAGTCCCTCCACATTGCTGTGCCCAAATCCCCAAAGCTTCAGGGTCTCGCCTGAGGAGTGTGGAGACTGATCTACCTCAGGGCTGTTGGAAGGCAGGTCTGTGAAGGATTTTCTGAATCCCATTGCCACCTCTGTGAGTGATTTGATAAATGTGAATGCTTTTATTTATTTTGAAATGTCTTACCTCTTGTGCAATCAGAGAGCTTCTTTTAATCACAATCAGCCTCTTTCTGGAGCTGTTTGCTTTGAGAAAGCCAGAAAGGGGCACCCTTGGCTTCTTGCCTCTTGTAAGGTACAGTTTGTGCAGGAGGAAATGGAACAGCTGCTGGGACTAGATAGCAAGTGGATGAAGCCACGGGCAGCCTTTTAGCTCAGTCACCAGGGATAGAGTGAAAGGCAATTTTGGGCTTCTCCCAACATAGGTGTGCAGTGTGAATCTGGAGTGACAACTAGCCTCCCAATCTGGAGGCCAGAGAGGAGAGACCCTAAAAAGGATGGTCCTTGGTGTCAGATACCCAGTGAGGGCACAGAGCCAAAGAGGCAAGTGTCTCCTCCCCTCCCCCCCCCCATGCCACTGCTGTGGCCACTGCCAGAAAATGCCTGGATTCTTGAGTGTCATGGGCCCAGCAACCTCCTCCTCTTTGAAATAACTGCTCTTCTATTACATAGTTTTGCTCAGGAATTATTAAATGAACACTGTCCACCATCTCCTGAGCCCTAAGAGCTAATTCCCAGTTGTGAGTGAAGACTTCCCTACCCCCAGACATAACTTATTTCCATGGAAGCCCCTCCACTGCCACCCCCCCACCCCCGCCTTAGATTTCTCTCCCTGGCACATTCCTTGTTATAGCTTCCATGATCTCTGCAGGTCTATGGCCCATTTCCCATACTCCCTGGAAAAAGTTTGGCTCTGTATTTCCCTTTCCGTGGCACTTCCCAGGTAGTCCTGACACTATTTTCCGTCCAGCCTGCTCTCCCCAGTCTAGGCAGCTTGGCTCTCCGTCATTTCTCCTTTCTAGCACTGAAGCTAACGTCATCCAGGAACCCTGAGCACCACCGGATGACTTCATGCTAGAGTTCAAAGTCCCCCTTATTTGCTTTTCCACCCACTTTGCCACTGACTTTGTATGGACTTCGGCACCACTTTTTTATTTTAATCACAGCAGCATGCTGTCCACGTATCTGTGAGCATGCTGCTGCTGATGTTTCTTTGCTGCCGTGGCATAGTGCCGAGCACAAAGCAGGTGCTCAATAAATGTCTAATGTGTGAGATGGAGTGGACTCATCTTTAGGGATTTGAGGGAATCATCTCCATTCTGGATTTAGACATCAACACACTGTTATTTCCAAGATTCAGAGCCTCCCACTCTCAGACCTTGGCTCCTTGTTCTCAGTCCTGCAAAACCCTATCTTAGCCAAGGAGACTTTGAATGGCAGCAACAGAAATCCACTCAACCTAACCCAAACTTTATCAGAAAGAGGACTTGCAGAAACCGGAGAATGGGACCATCAGCCAACCTCACGATGGGGGCTGTCTGGAGTCTTCTGCAACAAGAGCTCATGGCCTTTATGACGTGCATCCTCCCATAAGCCTCTCTGACTTAGCCCAGCTCCCTCTGCAGGACAGCTCGGGACCATTGTGGTCCTTGAGACCACTGGACTCTTGGCCACTCATTCACTAGGTGGCCCAATTCTGAGAAGAACCAGCCTTTGGATCCTGCTCTTTGAGGAGGTGGTGTCTATCCTGATGCAATCAGTGAAGATTTACTGGGACTGGGGAGCATGATCATATGACCTTCAGAGCAACTTCTTTCAGTTGCTCCATGAATACTCATATAAGCCTTAGAGGAGATTGAACTATTGACAGCCATGCTGCATGACTGGCTAATTTACTCTCATTGAAACCTCTTGCTTTGTCTTTACTCCCACTACCCTGATTCAACAGTCACTACCTGTGTCCCAATCTAGCAGATGTTCTTAGTGGAGGTTGCAGCTGTCCTTTGTCAGGCTACCTGCATGTGACTGAAAAAGATGGGCCTGGATGGAGGCTGGTGCCGCCTATTGGTTGGAGTTGGCTTTCAGGCGTTGTGATGAGGCCCACACCCAACCATGGGCCTGGGATACAGATAGCATGGAGGTGGGTTGGGAGTGGGGTGTCCAGGTCTTCTTTCCCAAGTAGACAGGTTGAACAGAGGTCACACTACAAACACTAACTAGAACCTAATCAGAATAAGAGAACAGTGCGGGGGTGGGGGGAGTGGGGGGATGGAGCATGGTGGGAAGTGGAACAGAGCTTGGAGTGAACCTGTAGGAAATCAAGTTTACATCTTCCAAAAAAGTCCCAATTTCTTATACGCCCCTGTTGACAGAATCCCACAAACAGTCAGTTCTCCCTGCTGGATTTTCTCATGGACTGTCACTTACACTGGTGTCTTTTCTAATAGTCTTTCTTGGGCCCTCAGAACACTCCTCTCCCCACCCCTACACTGTGTCTCATCCAACACCCTTAAATAAGCCATCCTGTTCTTTTTTACTGTTTCTACTATTTCTTTGACAATTTTCTCACTTCAGTCTTGTCTTGCAAACAGCTAGTGTAGAGATTAAGTTCTAGTGTTTGTATTGTGACCTGTATCACAATTATAACTCTTCCTAAATTTCCATTGCCTGGACTATAAAGTGGAAGAGTCCTAGCTTCACAGAAGTTATGTGGAATACCTACTTTCATGTTTGTAAAATCTTACGAAGTCTAGAGTGTATTAAGTACTCAATGAATATCAGATGCTGTTCCTCTCCCTGACATGGTCTCTAGGAGACTTTCCATTGCCTCCTCATTTCAATTATTTTCCTCTTGATGGCTGACCTCCAAACCTGAATGGTCAGTCTGAGCTTTGGGTTTTACAGTTGCTCAATGGAGAAGTGGTGTGGGACAGAGGAAAGAGCATGAGATCAGGAGAAGCAGATAAGGGCATGAAATCTTTTCAGCTCTCACAGCTGTGGACTTTACAAAGTGGCTTTATCTGAAAATCTGCTCATCCATAAGTGGGAAGTAATATTGCTTTTCAGGAGTAGAATCAATTTCACCACTTCTGTTTCCTTCTAGATGTTCTTCATACTCCATGCTTGTATTTGTCTCCATGCCAAAGGGAGAGTAAAGTCCTTCAGAGTGGAAACCTTGTATACTTGCGAATTAGTATATTTCTTGTCCCAGCATACTCCTGGTACATGCTCTCTCACATTACTTCTCATTAACTTCCTCTCCTGTAATCCTTTGATGTCTCAAAGTCAACATTGACTAATCATTTTTTCACCAGACTGACCCAGTAATTTGACAAACACTGAGTGTCACTTATAAACTAAGCAAAGACTAAGGATTGTGATGAAACATTTGTCTCTTGTTTTTTTGCTATCTACTGGAGAGATGGCTGATATTGGAATACAATATTTATGAAACAAGTTATACAGACATTTTGCAGGGAGGCCCAAGTACAGAGGAGTAAACTTTCTTCTGGAAAAGGCTTCTTAGAGGGATTGAAAATTGTGCTGGGTGTTGATGAAAGATTAGGAATTTTCCAGGCAGTGAAGGTTGTTAAATAGAGGGGAAAGTGTTGTCAGAGGCATAGGCTCATGTTTAGCTGGGATGGAAGATTTGAAGGGAGAAAATGAGAATGAAAGGCTAAGACCATTTTCCTTCATTTTTTAAAATGCAAATTTCAATTATGTACAGAAATAGAGAAATGTTATAAAATTCACCTCTGTATAGCCATCATCCAGCTCCAACATTTTATCAATTTAATGACCGATCTTTTTTTTTTACTTATATCCCTAACCATTAAGCTCCTATTCAATTATTTTGATGACAAATCCCAGACATTGAATCATTTCATTTAGTAGTATTATAGTATTTTGAAAAGATATATTTTCTTTCCTTTTTACAACTCAACATTAGTGAACTCTATCATTGCAACTTGTTTGACTTTTACCCTCACCATATATCAGGATATATAGTGTTGCTACCCTTTCTAAGAGACTATTTAGTGTTTTGTTTGTGAATTCACCTTATTAATCCATGACTGATAGGCATTTAGGTTCTTCCCAATCTCTTTTTTTAATATAATAGTTTATTCTTCCCAATCTATTAATACAAAAACAGTGCAAAAAGAACACCTTTGAACATACATTTTTTAAATAAAGATTTACTCATGTATGCATACATGAACTGGGGTACTGGCCAAAGATGCAGGGGCAGTGAGAAGCTTCCCCAGAGACAGAGTGGGGAGCAGAACAGGCAGGTCAATAACGTACAGTGCTGAGGGGAGCAGCGGGCGGGTCAGGAGAGGTCTGCCCTGCTATGTGGGTCACCTCCGGGGCCAGGGATCGAACTCTCACAGAAGCGGCTGTGGCTTGCATGCAGTGCTGCCTCCTAACCTACTGCACCACCAGGGATTTTTGCCTACCTACGGGTATAACTATAAGCTAAATTCCAGCATATTGAATTCCTAAGACTTTGCATACCTCTGATCCTGACATGTACTCCCTACTTAACCTAAGAGGTTCTTTGAATTACATGGCAAAGACGCTTTCTGTTATCCAGGTTTGTGACCTTTTGAGTCATATCTGTCCCTTCTTCATTGCAGCGGTCATATGTCCTACCAGCTCAACTCCTTTTGTTACAGGACACCCCAATGTGAATTGGGTTGCCTGTCTGTGGGTCTTCACCCGTGCGCTTACGATTCAATCGTATTATGGACACACTCAAAAGGTTAAATAATGGATTTATTTATAAGGAGAAAGGTAAAGGAATAACCCAGGGAAAGAGGGAGAGAAACAGGTTAACTAGGATATCCTACCAGTTCTGCTGACTTGGACTCCACCGGCATGCTGAAAACCGATTGAGCGCCAAAACGATCAGCTGCGAACCACCAGGTCCTCCCCAGAGCCCACAAGTCCGGTTTTATGCCAACCTGGCTGCTCAGCTCCACCCTCAAGTCCCGGCGTGCTTCTCATTGTTACTGATGGGATTTGGAGTTCCAGCATCTAGAGTGGCGGCGGAGTCCATGAAACCTGTACCTGTTACACTTTTAGTCTGCTCATTTTTCTCCATTCTCACTGCTGTAATCCTGACTCAGGCCTTCATCCTTTTTTTCCCCCAAGACAGGTGGAATGCTAAACAGGTGTTTTAATCATCCACCCTCTAGAACCAATGCTTAAAATAGGAGTTAAATAATTTCTTGACATCTCTGTTGGTGTCTCACCATGTATAATATTAAGAAAAAGAAGTTCAGCTTCTTAGCTTGCATACATTCCAGTTTGTCCCCAACTTCTCATTCATATCTCATATACTTTAGGCTTCACTGAAACTGGACTGTCAGATCTTACTTTCTCCCCAAATCTCTACCTCCTTCCTCTGTTGGAGATATCCTGCTCATCCTCTAAGATTTACTACAACTCTATCCTCCATGACTTCATACACTGTAAGGGCCACTCACTTTGGATCTAGGGTGACTTGAATTTTAATCTTGGCTCTCTTTTTGGGGGGAGGGGGAAAGGGGTATCAATTAGTCTGAGATTTAGATTTTTTTCATCGGCTAAATAAAGACAAAAATGCCAACCAGCGGGATTGTTGTGAAGAGTAGGCATAATGGACATCCAGTAAGCATTCCATAAAAGATAATTCTGATTATGTCCGAGGTCACTACCCCTATTCTATACCTGCTGCATTTGTTTTGTGTTATAGCTGGCGGTGGACAAAACTTTCTTGACCACTAGACTGCAAGCTCACTGTAGGCAGAGCTCAGGATTCCTCCCTGCTTCTCCCAGCGTCTGACAGAGACCAAACAAATGCTGGATGAGGAGAAAAAGATAACACACACAGGGTCAGTCTGTGGAAGGTAGGATTCCCCTGGCGTTTCTGCCTAAGGCACCACAGTGGCAGTCCGGGCCAGGGGCGGGGCCTGGATGTGGGGGCGGGGCTTGAATATGGGCCTAAATAGGAGGCGGGCTCTGAGGCAGGCCCCGCCCCTGTCCGTCAGCTAACGCGCTCCCCTGGCGTAGACCGCGCAGTGTGGTTCCTCGTGTGGACTCCCGCCTCTTCCGCGGCCCGGCGGGCCCGGGTGCCGCGCCGACATGCGCCCCCTGCTCGGTCTCCTCTTGATCTTCGCTGGCTGCACCTTCGCCCTGTACTTGCTGTCCACCCAGCTGCCCCGCGGGCCGACACTGGTTTCCGATGGAAAGACTGGAGACAGGTGTTTGGCGGGCAACGGGATTCAGGTCCAGGGACGGGGTCTGAGAATCTGAGATTCGAGTCAGGGATCGGAGGCGTCAGGGGTCGGGATTTGGGGCTCAGTTCTAGGACTGGAGACCGGGGCACGGTACTCGGGCGGCGTCTGCAGTAGGCTGGGTGACTGGGAGCCGGGACGCGGCCCTAACTTGGACTGCGTGGCGTGTGCTGTCGGGGTGCGCGGCTTTGACGAGGGAAACGGCGTCTTAGCCCAGCCGAGTCTTCTCGTCACACCCACGACCCCCCGTTTGCTGCGGTCGTCGCGACTCTGCAGGCGCTCGGGCTCCCAGCCAGCCCACTTCAGTCCAGTCTGCCCCTGGGACTTTAAAGCATGCGGTCTCCAGGAGATGTATTGCTCTGACTTTAAATTACTCACGGGTCATAACTGGGTCCATCTTCTTGGCCGGTTTTTCCTCTCCTGACCCACGGAGTCAGAACGCTTCCCGCCGGTCCCTACCGGACTGGTTTCTTGTTAGTGCTGCATACTGTGTGTAAAGTTCACGGGACGTGTGCCTGGCACAGTATTGTATTGTCAAGGATGTTACTGGTGTTTAAATATCAGGACAACTCTTTTTAGTTATTTATATGATGCTCTTTTGCTCTGAGAAGGCTCTGCTGTTGGTGCCAGGCGTGATAAAAGAAACATTCTTATGAGAATTTGGAGGGCTTGTTCAAAATTGATCTTTGATGGGTTCTGTTCAGGTGGCAGAAGCAAGGCAGCCTTTACTCCGCAACCCTTGTACGGGATTCAGAGTACACTAAAAGCCAGTTTATGAGCTGAATGAAAAAGCAGGCCCCATTGAAAAGGGTGGTTTCAAGGCTGATATATTATCAGGCAGGTTATATTTATGGTATGGGGCAGATAAACTTTCGCTGAGAGTCTTTAATTGGCTGGTTACTGGTACATAAACAGCCGTTTAGCCTGCTAGGTCAGGAGCAATGTGATGTTTTAATTGTCCTTGACCTAAAGCTTGTGGTAGGAGTGGTTTTTGAATAGAAGGCAACCTGGGAATTAATACATTTGCTCTTAAGAATAGATCATAAAAGCTCAACGACAAAAGGGAACTTAGTGATTATAAGCACCAACCCCTCATTTGTAAAACGAGACTAGCACAGGACCATACAGTGGGTTGTAGGGGAGTTAAGATGTTAACCAACCCAGTTGCTTGCTTCCAAACCACGGCCCTTCTGTCTGCCTCTACAGTGCTATTTCAGGTCACCTGTATCCCACGCTCTCATTATGTGTGTTTCTAGCAGTCTAGATGAGGGGAAATATTTATTTATTTTTAAAGATTTATTTATTTATGTATATAGAACTGGGGTACAGGCCAGAGGTACAGGGGGTGAGAGGATTCACCAGAGACAGAGTGGAGAACAGAACAGACAGATTGATTGAAATACACTGCTGAGGGAAGCAGAGGCAGATCAGGAGAGGTCTGCTGTGCCATGTGGGTCACCCCTTAGTGGGGGGATCGAACTTGTGCTGCAGTGGCTGTGATAGCTTCATAGTGCTGTGCTTTAACCTGTTGCACCACCAGGGAGGGCCCCCCTTTTTAAATATAGTTAACTTTACTTTCTTGTATTGTTGTTCATTTTTGTCCAATATTTGACTTTTACCCTCAGGTGTAGATCACGTATTTCTCCCACCACCTTAGTGCTCATGAGCCATCTCCACCATCCCTTGTTCTCTTTTCCCCGCGTTTTGAACACTCTACTTTCCTCTCCCCTGCTGTATAGCTCAGATCTATGTTTGGCTTGCAAGTTTTGTTTGGTGTAAACGTACTTTGAAAATAAGACACAAATGATTTTCTTAAGTGCTTGGCTAATCTGGACTCATGTTTCCGTCTGTTTTTCCAAATCCCCAGGTCCCTGTGGTTCCCCTCAGATCTTGCTGAGCTTCGGGAGCTTTCTGAGGTCCTGCGAGAATATCGGAAGGAGCACCAGGGCTACGTGTTCCTGCTCTTCTGCAGTGCCTACCTCTACAAACAGGGCTTTGCCATCCCAGGCTCCAGCTTCCTGGTCAGTGTCCTACCCTTCTTGTTTGCCAGGAACTCACCTTCTGTTTTCGAGGGGAGTCTTGGCAGCAAATCATATGTCCTTGAGCATAGACTATACCGACTACCATTGATAACTTCCTGTGTCAGGTACTGACCTATTTGCTTTCTCTGCAAACTCTTACTTAGTTTTCTCAAAAGGCCATAGTGGGCATTATTAGCTCCATTTTACATAAGGAAACAAATGGTTAGAAGTAACAATCTGAGGTGACAGGTGAGGAGAGGGCAGGACTCGGCTTTCAATCCATCTCTTTCCTTGCTTTGCCTTTTAGGCATGTTGCTGCTTTGTTTCTAAGGCGCTGATAGTTAAGGAAATCTGTGCTTGAGACAAACACACAGGCATGCACTCTCTGTACTGTGTTATCTCCTGTAATATTATGCATTTTAGCAATTTTTTAAAAAAAGATTTATTTATTTATGCATACAGAACTGGGGTATAGACCAGAGGTGCAGGGGTGGTGAGAGGATTTACCAGAGACAGAGTGGAGAGCAGAACAGGCAGACTGATGAGCACTGCTGAAGGGAGCAGGAAAGGTCTGGAGCGGGCGGGGCAGGAGAGGTCTGCTTTGCCATGTGGTCACTTCCGGGCAGGGATGGAACTCATGCTGAAGTGGCTTTAGCTTCTTAGTGCTGCACTTTAACCCACTGCGCCACCAGGGAGGGCCCCGTTTTAGCAATTTAAAAAAAAGATTTATTTATTTATGTATGCAGGAGCTGGGGTATAGGCTGGATATAAGGGGGTTGGGGTGAGAGGATTCACCAGAGACAGTGGAGAGCAGACCAGGCTTATTGACTGAAATATGTGGCTGAAGGGAGCAGTAGAAGAGACAGGAGAGGGCTGCTGCACCATGTGGGTCAGCTCCCTGCCAGGGGATCTTAAGTCCTACGCAGGCTAGCTTCATGGTGCTGAGACTTAACCCTTGCACCACCAGGGAGGCCCATTTTAGCACTATTTTTGATAACTTTTTAAAACCTGTTTTCTCTGCTTGTCTGTGAATTCCTTGAGAGCAGGGCCTATTCCTTATTCTCAGCCTTTGTATTCCTTTGCGTGGCACTTAGAAGTGCCTTCTAAGTGTTTAATGAATAAATGTAAATTGTCTGTGCTGACATTAGGCCGTAGAGGATTGAGATATCTCCCTGGTGTAGCAATGACAAGTCCAGATTTTCCTACTTTTAGGAACTGTAGTGTTTGACCTGGGCTTGTGCTCAGATTTTTGGATGCTGCTCCATAGTTAGGATCTCAGGTTTTACAGAGAACCTGTATGATCCTCCCAGCAGCATTTTAAGCTGATTCAAATAATTGTATACATATGTTGGGGTTTGGAGTGGGTTTGAATCACAGCTGTGTGACTGTGGACTAGCCATTGACCTTCTCCAGTGCTGTTTCCTTATCTATAAATCCGGGACACTCCTACCCAGCCTCCTAGGATTGTTTTGTGGGAGAATGAAATGAAGCAGTGGGCGTAGAATGACCAGCCTGGTGATGGTCCTTGGCACACAGTAGCCCTCAGCGCTTCTCAGAGGGTTGAGTGACTAAGCAGGACACCCTGCCCTCTTTGGCCTCCTGGCCCAGCATCTTTTCTCTCCATGCCAGGCTCTGGCTGGAGCCAATTAAGCAGTTGGAAACTGGAAGAAAAGCAGACGTGTCCATGTCAAGAGAGATGGGGAGATGCTGGAGACGGGGGTGGAATACACTGAGCTGTCTCCCCAGTTGAGCTGATCCTTAAGCTGCTATCTGGGGGTGATTTTGGGGTGTCTAGTGATCTTGGGTTCAGTACTTAATCTCTCACTAGCAGAAGACAATAGGGGCAGTATAAGGTGCAGCAGCAGTGAGGATTAAGCAGTAGAGTCATGCACTTGCAGGAGCAGGTGCTCCTCTGGCCCTGCTGACTCTCCTCCCAGATCCCCTTTTACTTCCTGACTTGGATTCCAAGTTTGGCAGGATGATGTCTCCTACTGAACTGCATTTAGCAAAGCAAAGAGTGTTTCACCTTCCCAGTTTTGTTCATTGAAGCCTTTTTTTTTTTTAAAGATTTATTTATTTTTATGCAGACAGAACTGGGGTACAGGCCAGAGGTGGGGGGGGCGGGCATGAGAGGACTCACCAGAGAGAGAGGGGAACAGAACAGGCAGATGGACAAAGTACATTGCTGAGGGGAGCAGCAGGCAAGTCAGAGGTCTGCCACACCATGTGGGTCACCTCCCTGGCTGGGGATCGAACTCGTGCTGCAGTGGCTGTGATAGCCTCAGAGGGCTGTCTTTTAATTGGTTACGCCACCAGGGAGGGCCCATATTGAAGCCTTTTTGGAGTGTCAATGAGAACTCTTGTCAACATAGAACCCCCAGTGTTAGCACCCCAATACAAAGCAAAGAAACAAGACATTTACATAGCTTATATGGCCTTAGCATGGAAAATTCACAAATTGTGTGCATTTAAAAGAGTGAAAATAGCTTGCAAGTTGCCTTTCGGCTTGTTAGAGCACCAGGGCTTGCAGGACTTGCCACGACCCCAACCCACGAGGAAGGCAGGGTGCTGTAAGCGTGTATTTTCACATCTCACCCTCTCCTGTCTGTGAGGTTTTAGTCCTCATCTCTGTTTTAGAGGTGAAGAGACTGAGGCCAGGGCTCAGTTCTCAGCTGTCCCATTACTTTTCATTCACCTCTTTGAAATGAGAGTTGGGTTTAGGCCAGGAAAATCACTGACGGAGGCAGGTACATAGGACTTCTGGGCTCCAGGACAAGGTGACTGGTAGTTGTGAAATGTCCCAGTAGCTGAGGGTTTGCTTTCTGTGCAGAATGTCTTAGCTGGCGCTTTGTTTGGGCCGTGGCTGGGCCTTCTGCTGTGCTGCGTGTTGACCTCCGTGGGTGCCACGTGCTGCTACCTGCTCTCCAGCATTTTTGGCAAACAGCTGGTGGTCTTCTACTTTCCTGACAAAGTGACCCTGCTGCAGAAGAAGGTAAGGAGGCCCAGCTGAGCGCTGGGCCCCGGGAGTGGCCTTGAGGGAGCTGAAGGGTAGCGGCCCCCTCGTGCTCACTGGCCTGCTTTGGGAGGCCTCAGGGCTTTTGATATCTTTAAAGACACAGACCTGGGATCAAATCCTAGCTCCATCATTACCACCTCTGTGACTTTGGGGAAATCTCTGATTTCTCTAAGCTTCAGGCAATTCTGTTTTAAAAGTGGGGAAAGCAGTTTCTATCCCAGAGGGTTGTTGGAGGATCCTGGAAATGGAATGCATAAAGTTTTGTTTTTCAATTGCTTCTTAACAGCCTTGTCTTCTCTGGCTGTAGGTGGAGGAGAACAGGAACAGCTTGTTTTTTTTCCTACTCTTCTTGAGACTTTTCCCCATGACACCAAACTGGTTCTTGAACCTCTCAGCCCCGATTCTAAACATCCCTCTGATGCAGTTCTTCTTCTCTGTTCTTATCGGTAAGATGCTGGTGGGATATGCTGGAGTGTTCAGAGGTGTCATGTGGGGGTCTGCCCTGGGTTACAGCCAGCTACATGGGCATGTGCCCACCTCGGAGAGCCCAGTGTCCTGAAGGACCTCTTTAAGCTCTGTGACCGAACGTAATTCTCCCTGATTTCAGACCTGCTCAGGCTTGAACATGAAAACCCATAAAACTGCTTGTGGAGAAAAATAAGGAATATTTGCTCTATAACTGTATATAGTATCACTGTGCACTCGGCACTGGGATTGGAAGAGTCATTTATAGAGCACTTGCCTTGGCCCAGTTAAGGCCTCAGTGAAAGCCGGGAGAAAAGCAGGGCTGGATGGGCAGCGGAAAGCAGCACAGCAAAGGACTTTACAAATGGCTTTGGCATCTATTTTGATAAGATCTGCCTTGGGCGGAGCTGGTGTCACTGCGTTGCTTTTCAACAATTGTATGACCTTCAGCTACTGATACCCTCAGTGGGCCTGTTGGCCAGATGCGGGCTGGGTGGTCTGTGTTTTCTCAAAGTATGGGCCTTGGATCACCTTTATCAGCATGGTAAAGTGCTAACATCGTATAAAATCAAAGGCAAGTATTTTCTCGGTGCTGGAAGTAATCCATGTTCTCTGCGGAGGGATTGGCTCTTTTCAGCCTTCTTTAGGGCATGGAGGGAAAGATGCTCAGGGCTTCTAGGTCAAACATAACAAATCTGTGGCTGCGCAGCTTCTATAAATAGGGAATTCTTGAGAGAAATTGAGATCTGAGATTGAAGCAAAATCTACCACAGCTAATTTTGGTCCTGTTGGCTTCCAGACAAGGAGCCTCAGAACCTCAGTTAGCAGCTTGCAGTTACTAGGTGGTGCGAGGTGTCCCTACTGATCAGGTGTATGACCTTGAGTGTGATCTTGAAGCATTTGTACTATAGGAGAGGATTGGATTATCAGGCCCCAAACCAATCAATATCTTTTGAGTAAAGGTGGGAAAAGGCTTTTCAAAGGCAGGTTTCCAGGCTCTGCTGGAACAGGGCAACCAGACTCTCTGGGGTTGAGCTGAGGATGGCTTGAGGAGCTTCACCAGTTAGGGGACTGGATATAACCAGCCATGCAGACTTTGGGGTTAGTAGATTTGACCTCTTAGAGACCATACAAAATATGAAAAGCAGCACTTCTATGGTGTGAAAAGTAGTTTCTTCTAAGAAACTCATTTGTTGTCATTCTCATACTACAAATTTCACAGTGCTGATGCTGCTCTGTGCTTGGGATTGGGCACGAGAACCAAACTTGGGCCCTTCCGCTGGCAAATGAGTGAATCCTATCTATTTTTTGTACTAATAGTCGTCCCTGATGTATTTTATTCTTTACTCATTTGATTTTTCCTATTTATTTTTTTTGTCAATTGAAGTATATATATATATTTGTAAACTATCTTAAGTCCTTTTATCGCACAACGCAGATGTATATGGGAAGTTGAAAGGAGGGGAAAGAATGGAAAAGAAGGGAAAGGTAATATGTTTAGGGATCGGCAGCTGGATGAGGAAGGCTGGATGTCTCTGTTGTGAATCCCTGGTGACATTTCTGAGATGTTATTGTTCTTTTTTTTTTTGTCCTCCAGTAACAACTCTTTCCCTTTTCCTCTTCCAGGTTTGATCCCATATAATTTCATCTGTGTGCAGACAGGCTCCATCCTCTCAACTCTGACCTCTCTGGATGCGCTTTTCTCCTGGGAAACAATCTTTAAGCTGCTGGCCATTGCCCTGATGGCCTTAGTTCCTGGAACCCTCATAAAAAAGTTTAGCCAGAAAGACCTGCATTTAAACGAAACAAGTACCACAAATCATCTAAATGGTAGAAAGGACACGTGATGTGAATTTTTTGGTTGCTGTGTCTCTGCATTCTTGTTGCTTTTTGTATAGTGGGTGTGGTCCTGAAAGCCCCTCATTTGTCTTTTAATTACCCCTAGCAGGTGATTTGGGTACTGTTTATTGTATACACTATTTTGTCACAAAGGACAACCTGTGCTCTAGATGGTAAACTATAGCAGGTTCTGACACTGGCAGTGAGTTAGCAGGCTACTTTACAAAATGGATGGCCTCCTAGAGAATCCTGGTTATAGTTTATTGAATGACAAGAAACTCAGGATAGCTGACTCTTTTCATCTTTTGCCAAACATGGTGGGCGGTGCCTGGGGAAAGGAGACTGATGACCTTGTCCCGAGTGCCTCTTTCGCAGAGTGATAGGCTGTTGTGACAAGTGTGCTATTAAGTCCCTAGTGGATGTGATAGTATACGTGGCACGCGAGCCCACATCACTGACATTGTTCTCTGTCTCTTGAGTCTCTTGAAAAGTATTTCTCCTGTACTTCTTTTGCTGATAACCTACCTCTTCCATAAACCAAGGGAAACAAGCTGACACGCTGATAGAACTTCATATTCAGTTCAAATGCACTATGATTTTTGTGATGCACTTTGTGTTCAAAGATACTAATGTTAGCATATCTGTCTCCTGACTGTTAAGCTGACTGCAAACAGACTATTAAATATGAGTGGAGCAAATGGTATGTTCTGGGGACATTTCTACCCTCATGCATAGGGCAGGGCCCTGACTCACTTGAACCAAAGGACCATCAGTACATTTTCTAATCCGACCTTTCTCTGTGGGAACCTTTTCTCCATCTCCCCGCTGGGAAAGTAGATTCACTACTCTCAGTACCAGTAAATGTACCCTCTGAACACTTTTCATTTTGGCATTTGTTGAGAATAACTGAGCAATAATTCTATTTATCTTTTAGTTCAAAGAGGAAAACTTGTTTGGGATCACTTTATGATGCTGTATTTTAATTATCTGTGTCTTATTATTTCCTGCAGTGGCAATATTAAATGGGTACAGATCTGGGTAGTGTTTTTGAGGACAGAAGGATCTTGGCTCCTACACTGACCAGGCTTGAGATCCTGTACTCTGCAGCATCTGCAGCAGGAACTCATCATTTCTTGCCAGTGCTGTAGCCCTGGGGCATCACTTTATGGGTTTTTTTATTTGAGTTGGCCAAAGAGCTTGCCAAGACTTTAATCCGCATGACCTGTTCTAGAAATTCTTGGGAATGCTTGTGTTCACTAGGAAGAATGAATTCTCAAGCAGGGGAATGATCCAGGAAACACAAGAATTTCATTTGTAAAGATGTGTTGCTTTAAGAGAAGCTTGACTACATAAGTTGCGGGGAGGGGAGGAAGAGGGAAGCCAATTGGGCTTTGCCACCCCTGCCTCTTTGGGTCCTGGATCAGGGGGAGGGAGGGGAAAGGAGGAGCTTCCCACACTTGCAAATGTGTGCCCTATGTTATCAGGAGGAAGCTTAGGTTTGTCTCACTCTTCCCCCATGATTTTGTAACTATGTGCCTTATCAGTTGTGAGTTTACAGGCAAAGCAGTTTCCCAAATAAATGGATATAAATGTTCTTTGTGGTACTTAACATTTGTGCGTCTTTTCAATGGGAGTTGGGATCAACTGAGAATCAGACAATCTAAAATAGTATTTTAGCTTTCTGCCCTCAGTAGGCTTACCAGTGTTATTCTTTGGGAAAGAAATTTTCAATTTCCCCTCTCCTTCCTTCATGTTCGCTTTAATGGGCCTACTAGTAGTATGCCAGGAAACAGGCATCAGAAAGTCACAGGAAAAGGAGCAGAACTGCTGAGGCTGTTCAAGCATCATCAAGAAGAGACTATACCAAAAGAAAAGGATGGTTGTCTCTTCCTTCTGTGAATGTGTCTGATGAAAAGAGCCAGAGAAACCAGCTTCCCAGTCACCTGTTCCTCCAGATTGCAGACACGCAGTCATGTAAAACCTTTTTTTCCCCTAAATTTCTGACAAATGCTGAGACTTGCAAAGGCAGCTTTCAGGATTCAAACTCTACTTTTAGGAAAAGACAGGACCAGGAAGCAGTAAAGTACACTTTTTGTTTAATTCCATGCATTTTCTTTGATAGTCGTTCTTGTTCCCATGGCTGTACAAATACACAGTGGATGCCCCGTCAAAAACCCACACAGGGCATGGGGGAACCACCAGTCCCGGGATGACAGGGAAGACATGAAGGGGTCCACTTTAAGATTTAACCACACAAAAAGTTAATTTGCCCCAAATTGAGAGGAACTCAAATTATTGCAATACAGAATCAGAGTGGATCTTCCTACCTGCAGAGTCTGAGCAGTCACTGAGGAGGGGTTAGCCTCCTGGGACATCTTCCTGGCTCTGACATTCTGGCTGGGGACCCCTCTGGCTAGCATTCTGCTAGATCATTCTGCCTGGTCTCTTGACAGCAGCCTGCAGCCAGGAGTTGGCATTCCTGAGCACTGTGAAGAGAGAAGGCCTGGGATTCAACTGGAAGGGGGCTTGGTTCTGTGTGAAACTGCCATCATGCTGTGGTCATGTGACCAACCCTGTTTCTCAGAACAGTGGTATCAGCGCTCCCCTCTTCTGCCACCTGTCCCTGAGAAATGTTCCAGCTCCCACAGGGCCCTCTACTTGGCAGTCTAGCTCATTCCAACTCGAATATAAGCTTGCAGTATTGGCTGTGACATGCAGACAGGCAGACTACTGTGATTCTTAGGTGAAGTGGGTAACTGGTGGTGTACTCATACTCGGACATTTATTCTATGAAATCAGCAAAGAAGACAAATCTTGCTGCCTGTAAAGGCACTAAATGCATTCTGACAGTACAAGTCCATATCTTGAAAAGAATGTCACACATTGTTTTGGTACAGAGACTAAGGAAGAAGCAAGTGACTGGGACTTCACATATTAACTTTCTGTTTATAGCAGGTGAGGAATGAACGTGCTCATTTAATACAATGAAATGAGGGAAATGAAAAGACATGTTGGAGTTCAGTCCATCAATGATGGGAGATTACTCAGTGGGAAGTGCACTTCCAAAGGGCAGTGGGTGGAGGCAGGTGTGTTGCCACCTGGCAGCCAGAGGGTGGGGTCCATTCAGAGACCCCCAATGTAATCCCTTCGTTCTCCTGTGAGTTATCACACAAGATCTCAAACCACCTTTAGAAAACTATGTGTTTAGAAGCAGAATGGCAAACCTCCCTGGCACCACAATTCCAATCAAATTGGTGCTCCAAGTGTTGAGTCGTGAGAGGTTCTGGAATGCCCAGGCTCAACTGGAAAGGCTATGGTGATCAATAACCTCAGTCTTGGGTGATTATGGTGGAGACTGTAGACGGAAAAACAAAAAGCACACTATATACCACAGAGCAGGGCGGGAGCTCCTTGGAATATTATATTTCACTTTGGAGATCAATTTCAGAAAGCTCAAGATGTAATATTTTAAGAAAAGTGGGAAAAGTTGAAACACAGGACATGGAAAAAACTGCTAAACCATCTGCTCAGGAAGGGTGCATTCACGCCAAGGATGTCAGCGGGGAAGGGCATTTAACGTTATCAAATCTATTATGTCAGGTTCAGAGGGAAATTTAGCAAACTGAGGCTCTGAAATGAATGTCCAGTAGTATGAAGTCCTATTTTAAAATACTTAATTCTAAAAAGATGGATTTATTGATCCTGAAGTTTTAAAATAGCTGAAATCCAGGCAGGCTAGACCAGATGGCCAAGCTGGCATCTCTACCTCTCTAAGCAGAACTCCCCACAGTTTTGCAAACAATTCTAAATTTTACTAATAGGAAGAGCTCGTATAATTCAAATTGTATGCGGGCTTCACAGTTCTGCTAAGCAATTTTAGGAGGAATTGTTATTCAGAGGACACGATCTAGAAATAGATGGTGCTCATCTGAAACACACATTAAAACTCATTATCTTGCAGTCTATCAAAAACAGATGCTAAATGAATGTGGACATTCATCCCAAAGAGGTGGAACTTTCCATCGACAATGAAGCTTGAAATCACAGTCCTGTGAGGTTTTTTAAAAGCATTGTTGCACAGCTGTCAGAACTGAAGACTCAGTTCTTAAATTCCCTGAGCTCCTGACTCAACACTCTTTAAGTGACTGGAATTTTCTCAAGAAACCAATGTACCAATTCAAAATCTTCCTGGCTATCTCAAGGCAGGCGGTGAAGGGCAAGGCTGGGGTACAGAAGGCATTTCTCTTTTAACCTAGACTGAGGTTGCTGTTATTCTCTGAAGTCTCTATTCAGTCACTTATTCTAAAAAATGAAAATAAAAATATGTAATGTGGAATTTTAGCCAACTCTTGAGGACACAGATTGAAGAAGACTCAACAGTGTCTCCTCCCCCAACATGCTCATAGCAGTTAATTCACATAAGGTATATGACATTTTCATGATAGTCAAGACAGGAATTCGAAACTTTCCAGGTTATCAGGTATCAGGTGTGGATTTTCGAGGAAGATGGAAAGGTGTAAGACAGACATGGACACTCATGTTTCTCTTTTGGTACTACAGGTGGCCAAGAATTGGACATGCTGAAGTGTCAGTATTTTATAAAAGCTGGAGATAAAGAGGATAGAGAATTTAGCCTCTCTCTTCCTAGCCGCAGTGAAACAGAGACAGTCATGGTGCAGGGCGGTCTGAAGTCCAAGGGTAGAAATACGGCCTTTCAAGACACTTTTCCAGCTCTAGTAAGACCCTCTAAGTCACTAGGCCACATCCTAGAATCTTTCTGATTTTGTCGCAGGCTGTCATTCCAGCCAGGCATTTTATGTTCTGCCATAAATATGTGTGTATGTATGTGTGCGTTATTTTCCTTTTGTTTGCATCACCCTGCCACCCAAATTAGGAGAAAAATGGTTGATTCTGTGAGCTCTGGCAGGAAGGAGATTATAGACTGTGCCTTCAGTTCTTCAAGCTATCTAACCCAAGGGCCCTAGACAGAAACTCTCTAAGTCTGTTCCTCTCAGGGCATTAAATCATGCTCCTTTTGCTTCTAATGTAGTCCATGATTTTATTTCTTAAGAAACTTTAAGAAGTTTACAGCTTTGAAATGCTTGTCCATCCAACCACTCAGTCCTATCTGTCCACCCAGGATATTTCATGATCAAGTCAAAATCGTAACGTATCCATTAGGCTCCAGGGCAGAAGACGCATCCGGTGATTGTTGTTGTACACAGAAAATAGGGGATACAACTAGCACGGATACCAGGAGTTCCCAAAGAGCAGTCCATTTTCATTCCTTCACAGAAATCATAAAAATCCATAATAATTCATGGTTAGCAATAAACACAATCATTGTGCTGCACCATAAACCACACCTTCTGATCGACAGAAAATGAGAATGATAGTAATTATTATAAAACAAAATAACAATGATAAGAATGCCATAACTTAAGATCTTTCATGTAGTCCAGCTACAGAATTTATACAAAAGGGAATAATTTAATGCAAACAATACTGCTCTCCGTATAAGTTAAACAGTTTCCTTCATCCTACCTAAGAGCTATAACACGAAAATTTAAATCACTGTCTCAACATAAAATGTAAACAAATGGAGGGATCGAACAAGCCAGGAACCACACTCTGTTCCCTCCAGCCTTTCCTTTTTGGCTGATGCAATCAGTGAGCCCCGGCAGAGGGCCACATTTTCATCCACACCGGAGATGGTCTAATACCTGTATGTGTAAGTCTTTCCTAATGTCCAGGTGAGTCACTGTCAAGGAGAACAGCCATCTTGTGAGGTGTTGAGCCTCAAGAGGTTGTTTGACAGTAACCTACCTTGAAGACAGAGATGGCAACTAGGCCAACATCTATTTTTGTACCAAACTCTAGCTAAAAATACTTCCTTCAAGTCAAGGCACTGTGAAGTACCCTGGGATGCTTTGCAGAGCTCATGACCCTGGAGACATGAGGGGGCCTCATGCTCTGGACAATGTGAAATCTTTCCAGTTGCTGCTCAGCAGAAGCTGTTCTTTCCGTAAGTTTTTAAATCCAATTATTCAAAACTGCATTGATCCAAAGGGAGGTAAAATACATTTGTACAAGTAGCATTTTACAAAGATGCTACTGGGGTGGAAGAGAGGTTGCCTTTTGCAAGTTGTCTAGTTTGCCTTTACTATGATAGTTGTAATCAGTCACTAAATTTCCAAGATAGAAAGAGTTAGTGAATAAAAAACCGAGGGGACACTTCGGGACCGGACCTGGGACAGACTCACACATGTCTAACTGTCTTCAAAGTCTGTCCAGTTTGCACCAGTCTGGCTAGGAGACAAGCAACGTGGTTCCACAGAGGGAGGGTCCCATCTTCTCCCGGTGGCTGAACTGAGACATTCTGAGTACTTTCACAAATTCCATGTTTGCTTTTCCAACACTGTTGTAGATTTTCTTTTTTCTCTTGCCCTGCTCTCTGCCTCAGTCTACCCCCCATTACTCCTGAAGGAAGTGGTCAACAGGTGAAAAGGAAAAAACTAGAAGAAAATGGCACTTGAGTCTGACACGTCAACACATTGGTCAAAGAAATGACAATGACAGCATTAAAAGGGAAGTATTTGTCAAGGATAAGGTTTGACACTATAAGTCTCACTATCAAATACTGCTTAAAATTTTAAAACTGAAATCAGTGTCCACAATCAGCTTTCCTTTTCCTCCTAGAGGAAGCACATGCTCTCAAAGACTCTGGACACAAGAATCTGGTGACCCAACTTTTCTAGGTCATTTCCATTAGCCATCTGGACAAGTGGGCTGAACTTAATGTAGTCTGTCACCAGTTATCTAAACTTGCTTTCCTTTTGCTGAAGGAAAAGCATTTTCTAAAATGCTCAATATGTCTTGCTCTGGCTCTTCTTCAGTCACTTATGGCCAAAAGAATTGGTCCCCTGTTCAAGTAGCAATAAAACCTCCTGGCCCCACAAATTCCCAAGGATGTTGCTCCTAGATTCCACTTCTTTCTTTCTTCCTTTCTCTCTCTCTCTCTCTCTCACTCTCTCTTTTTTTTTTTTAGCAAGAAATTATTGTCTTTCTATATATCATATAGTTCACTCTTTACAGTACAAAGTGTTAAAATGTCAAACAAAAATAAATATCAATGTTACAGTAGCTAGAATATTCAATAAAATAGATCCCTGCCATTCTTGATTGAAATGTTCAGTGAGACTTAATTTCATTTGGATATTTTTTCCAGAGATTTGCAAAGTCTCAATTTCCTGTTATTGCAGCTCATTTCTAGGGGTAAGAAAGATAGGGCAGCTCTCTTCCCAGACAAAAAAGCAGGGAGAGAGTGGGAAGAGTCAGAGGGGGTGGGATGGACTTGAAATGCCAGGATAGTCACGAGCTCTTCTGTGGGCAGTCTCTCATTACCAAGTAGCAGAGCTGTAGCGCTTATTGGTCCTGACGGTGGCATCAGAACACTCTCCATCTGAAGAGTCACAGTCCGAGTCTTCAAACTGCATAGGATTCTGCAAAGTCCAGACAAAAGAAAACTCATTCATTTCTGCAATCACTCAGTGCACAGGTGTTGACCACTTTCCGTGCCTTTGCACGTTACTGGCTTGCTGGATAAGGGGCTACAAAGATGAAGACCAGGTCCTGCTCTTGTGGTGAAAGACAAAGGAAGGGGAGGATGATGATGTGGCAGAGCCCCACTTCTCACTGATAGTGTCGAGCTGCTTTGCAGCTATTCATCCATTTTACCCTCAGGAGAGACAGATGTTATTACCATGCCCATTTGACAGAAGATGGACCTACAGAGAGGTAAGAGGCTTGCCACAGATAGTAAACTGAAAGGCTGGTTTCATACCTGGGTGGGCAGACTACAGGGTACACTCTCAGCCTCTATGCTCTGGCTTGGCAGGCGCTGCCTACATGAGCTAAGGTACCAGGGTTAGGGGGAAGCATGCTATGGGGGTGAGGGGTCTGGGGAGGTAGAGAGCGTGGGCACTGAAAACTTGAAGTGGGAGGTCCACCCATGAACCAGGTTGGGAGTTGGGGTCCGGAGGTGACGTTTTGGGTCAACCTCGGGTGGAAGGGCTCCTGAGCAGCTCAATGCGTGTGTCGCACCCAGGAGAAACTACCCTCATTTCTGCAGCTCGGCTGATCCCTGTATTGCTTCTAGTCACGGAGGCAGCTGTAAATTGGATGCTAGGCCATAACCGTAAAGGTTGTGCACATATTCCAACCCAGAAGAACTACAGGAGGACAGTGATGGGAGCAGAAGGCAGGAGAGGCCTCACCTCATAGCCACGTTCCTCCACGCACAGCTTGCCCAGGGACATCTGCGTCTTCACGCGGCGCACAGCGCACTCCTTGTCCGAAAGCCCGTCCGAATGCGAGGAGATCTCGATGGGGATCTCTGGCGTCTGGGAGAGCAGGTCGTCCAGCTTCTCCGCTAGGCGGTCTTCAAGTTTCTGAGCCAGCTCATCGGGGCTGTTCGAGTGGTCACTGGTATTTCCCTCCTCTCCATCAGACACGGAGAAGTTCTCGGAGCTGAAGGTTGAGTATGACCGGCAGCTGCTGAGACAGCGATGGGGCCTGGAAGGAAAACCCCAGATGACTGGATTCCAGGAACAAAGACTACTTTCCTTACTGGGTCAGAGTGAGCCCGGTGAGATGTTTAAATTCGGATCGATGGAAACTATAGCTTTAAAGCAACAGACTGGAAAGTTTGAATTTCCCTTTTCATTGGGTTTCCATGTTTGTGTGGCTAAAAGGCTACACTCCAAAGCTGATGGCCTGAAAAAGTCAGTGGGTCAACTTTCTCTGTGTACAAATAAGTGGGGTGGAGAAATGTTCAAACTGAAATGATGCTTTTCTTCCTCATAGAATCCCTGTATCCCACAGGCAGAAGAAACTGGAGATTCATGTCCCAGATGAGAAAACTGGAACCAGGGAAGGGAAATGACCTGTTCAAGGCTACACTGTCAGAGAAGGGAGAGGAGCTCACATGCTGCTCAACGGCTTCCCTCCACCCCAGCTGCGTTTCCTGGGGTGTGGCAGCTCTGGAAAGTTGAGAGCTGGGTTAACAGTCAGGGTGGAGGAACTCATGACAGAAATGAGTTTGGAAGAAAGGCTCACTCTACAGCTGCAGCCACTGCCCAGCCAGCTTACATCTGAGTTTAGCTTGATAAGACAAAACATCGGAGGGATGGGGGAGAGGGAACTTGCAAATTCCTCATTTCCTGAAGTCTTAAGGTCTTACTTATAAGGGAAAAATAGGGCAACTGAATAAAGGATCCGGAAAAAGTCACACTAGGAAGTGGACCATACATTTGAGGATAGAGCAAGGGAGAGGGAGTGAGCGGGGTCAAAACAAGGGAAGGAAGAGCGCAAGGGACTGTGGGGCTGGGTCACAGGTGCCATGGAGGTGGGAGAGTTATGGGGACCACACCTGAGGGGAGAAGTCAAGCATTGTACAAAAATGAACAATGCTGTTAGAAAGTAAAAAAATTAATTATTACAAAACCTCCTCATTTCTTCCCATTGCTTAGAAGTTGTCGAGCAAATAAGAACACTGTTAACTGATAGGGGTTTAAAAAACAAAACAATAAAAGGGAAGATTGTCTTTTTCTTCAGTCCTTGTCTGATCCTTCTGTATTTATGCTGCAGCCATGTGGATGGCACGTGATGGAGGTAGGCAGGGGGCCTGGCATGAGAGGGGAGGGGCTGTGTGAAAAGAGGCCGGACTGGAGAGGCGCACGTGGGCAAGGAGGCTAAAGTAGACTCACATGACTTCTCTACGCTGGTAATCCAGAAGGCAGAGTGGGAGAAGAAAGTTATATGTAAAAAACAAAATTGTGAGGTGAGAACATAAAGATCATTTGCATTATGGCAAAAAAGGTGGGAAGCCAGTGGGTGGGCTGAGTTTGTGGTAAGTCACAGGAACACAGGCTAGAAGGAACAAAACTGTGATGTCAGTACAAGGAGTTCAGAGAATGAAAAGCCCTTTAACTTGGACTTGCTCTCACTGCAGAGAAAACAGTGTCCAAGGAGACAATGAGACAGCAGGAGCAGACTTCAGGATGAGGACAGACTTCAACTTCATGTAGGGTGCATAGAACCAGGATATAACTTACCACAGGACTAGGGGGCCTTTGGTTTGCAGGGAATTTCTGGTTCTGACAGGTACACAGAATCCTGAGGGCTTACTCTTCAAGGACAGAGTAACTATTCACAGAAACATCCTTCAGGGAGGCAAACTAGCTTCCCAGTTCATATTCCAGAAACAGGGGGATGTGGGCCATCTTTAACCTACCAGAAGATTATTACTGCTAGCTGAGCAGGAAGTTATTTCTAAGGTTGGGCTGAAGGACTCATCTACTTATGCTATGGATTGAACTGTGCCCTCCAAAAATTCATTATATTGAAACCCTACCCACAAAGCGAATGTGGAGATTCAGGAAATAAGGTCTTCAGGAAATAAATGTGGGTAAAAGAGGTCATGAGGATGGGGCCCTAATCCCATAGGGTTGTGATCCTAAAAAGAGGAAGATTTCTTTTTCCCACATGTGAGGACACAGCAAGATGGCTGCAGTGTGTAAGCCAAGAGAGACTTGGACTTCCCAAGGTCCACAATTGTGAGAAATAAATTCCGTTGTTTATGTCACCCAACCTATGGTATTTTGCTATGGCAGCCTACACAACTAAGCTAGAGAGGAACACTGGACACCAGTAAAATTATCCATAAAATAGTATGGCCATTCTTCATAAAATCCCACTATATTCTTAATCATCACCTTGAATCTATATTTACACTCCTCAACTTGAAGCTCTAGGGAGGGAATTCCATTAAATTAGGTTCTGTTATACAAAGTCTGCTGCCAAAATGTGCCCACGGGACAGTACACACACAGCGAGTTCAAATTCCCCTGATGTGACTGTTAGAAAGTGACCGTAGAAGTAGGAGATTGGCAAACACAGGTGTCCCCTCACCCCACCCCCTCCAGCACACACATCATTATGATGAAGGCAGTCATGTGTTTGTTGGTTTTACCTCTGTCTTCGTGGAAATTCAACTTCACTATCTACTTCCCCTTCTTCCTCTTCAGAGGACTCATCTCCACTCTGAGAACAAGAAAAAAGTTCTATTTTATTTTTAAAAAATTTATGCATATGGCCCTCCCTGGTGGCGCAGTGGGTTAAAGCACAGCACTGAGAAGCTAAAGCCACTTCTGCATGAGTT